GAGCAAGACCTGTTGGTCGACTGGCCCTGACGGCGACGCTGCTTCCATAGTAATCCTGTCGATGTCGCTGAGCTCCAGCCATCCAGCGCCTTGCTGCTGCCCTTGGGGCTCTTGGGCTTGCTCCTCGCTGCTCGGGCTCCTCTCCTCCTCATGCTGAGGGTTGAGCTTAAAACCCATAGCTTCCAGCTTGACTTCCAGGATCCCTTCCAAGTAGAAGGGCATGTCTTCCATCAAGCGTCGAGCCTCTGCCTTGGTCGCCAGGGAGAGAGCTATCAGGCTCCCATCCCAGCTGAGCGTGTCACGATCCTCCTCGACCTCGACGCTGACCAGCTTGAGGTTCATTCTTCTTGCTAACTCCAACATGGCTCGCTTGACTCTCGTGATCGATGTGTTACCTCCTCCGCACAGCGCTTCCATCTCCTTCCTCGAGAAGCGGCCTGTGCTCATGCTTGACCTCGACTTGATCTGTACTCTGAAGCTGCTGCGCCCCGCATGATCTCTCTCGCGAAGTGCCTTCCTCTGCTTGGCAATCTTTCCCCTCGGCACGAAGGTGTCGGCTGTGAGCTCGACTGCAAACGTCTCTCTGAGCTTGGCGTCGTCGCTGATGAGAGTGAGATGCACCCCCTCCATCGCCTCGCTCTCTCTGAACGAGGCCAAGGTCTGCTCGCAGCTTGCCGTCGAAGGCGAGCTGAGCACCCACTCTAGCTCTTTTTGCTGGAGAGTGCCCGTACTTGCCCCAACAGCGACATACGTCTTCGGGCTCGGCCCCTTGCGACCTCTCTGCCCAGGACCCTGCAAGAGCATGCCTGCAAGTGGTTGTACCTCTGCGGCTGCAAGAGATTGCGAGAGCAGCTGAAATCGATAAATCTGAGCGATCTCAGCCGTCGACATTCCTCCGAGAGCTAAGAGCTGCGATAGCTCGGCAAGGCTCCCTCCCTTGCCCCAAGGTCCTCGCTTGGCTCGAAGCTTGAACGACCGGTCGTGTGCAATGCTCACCTCTGTGGCTCGGAAGGCTCTCCCTTCTATGCAGTATTCTTTCCTGCCTTCCCATAGCTCCATGGCTGCTTCATTCCGAAGGAAGGAGACGGTGACTGAGATGTCGTCTGCTCGTGCTATCTCAGGTCTGTAAGGTGCTTTCCACATGATGGCCTTGTCGACTCCATCGACTGAGTCTACCATGAGACCTAGCTCCATAAGCTTCGATTTCAACTTTTCTTCTTGTCGAACATACATCGAGGAAATCCCTAGGAGAGTCATGGAGATGAAGGAGGTCCCCTCGGTGCCTTCGGTGCCGATGTATGTCTCGACATTCTGTTTCTTGGCCTCCTCCATCTGTTGAATAAACCATGCTCTCGACTCTGAGCTCCATTCACTCAGAGAGTCTTCAAACAGGTCGCGTCTCGCCTGCCGACATGTCGAGCGGATGGCTTCAGCGATAGCGTCGGGAGTGCATCCCCCCTCAGCTCTGCAAGCCTGAGCTGTCCTACTACCAGGATACCGCTTCGCGAAGCTCTTCACCCTCTCGACGAGGTCGGCGGCCTCCTCGACGTGGCCTCCAGAGCGCTCGCCCTGCGTGTATTGGCATGATCTCCGATACAGCAGGCTGCGAACGCTCTCATCATACTGTAGTACCATGCTTAGAAAGCTGTTTGAACTATACCAAGAACTTGCTCGCAGCTTCCTCCGGTCCCCTTGCGCTCTCCCTACGCGCCGCGGATGTGCATGCCTCGGGAAGGGGCGGCCCTAAACCCTAAACCCTATTATTATTATTATTATTATGTGAGTTTATTAGAATGCTAGAATGTTGCTCGGCCTCGTTGTGGGCTTATGCAATTTGATCCTAGTCTAAAGAGGCGCTCGAGCACTGGGAGTACACGGCCTACAATGCGAACCCTGCTTCTGAGGCGTCTTTCTACTTTCTACTTTTGCTGTCTTCTCTTGGCTTCCTCAGCCTCAGTCAAAAGAGTTGCCTCTCCTCACCTTGGCCTTCGGTCGCCACCTACTCTACCTCCATTCAGCTTCCTCAGCCTCAGTCAGAAGAGTTGCCTCTCCTCACCTTGGCCTTCGGTCGCCACCTACTCCTCCTCCATTCAGCTTCCTCAGCCTCAGTCAGGAGAGTTGCCTCTCCTCACCTTGGCCTTCGGTCGCCTCCACCTTCTCTCATTACCTTGAGCTCAGCTCAAGCTCGGTACGGGCTCGCCCCGTCTTCTTCCTCGCCCTCGCCTTGCTCTTCCTCCATGTCTTCCTCTTCTTCGCCATCTTCCCTCATCTCCACCCGCAGTCGGTCCTTCTTGTCCACCTTCAGCGAGCAGGCCAGCACATGCATCTCTGCGAATTTACTCAGTGCTATGAACAGGAAGCTAAGAGATCGACGCTCTATGTCGTCGCTCTCCGCCTCCTGCTCAAGCTCAGCAGCTGCCGTTGCCCGTGGCGAGAACGCGCTGCCCCTCCTTGCCTTCTTGCTCTCTCCTTGCACGCGAGTCCAGCGCTTGCTCTGCAGCCACTTCCCCAGCTTCTCCTTGAGAACGTTGCGCCCAACTCCCTGCTCCTCTGGCATCTTCGCCCACTCTCCCAGCGACATGAACTCCAGGCTCCCCGGAGAGTAGAACGTGTCGTGGAGGTTGCCAACGGCCTTGTCCAGGACCAGCTTGATCGGCTCGCTCGTCCCCGCCTCGTTCAAAGAAGCTGCATCTTCGATGACTGCTGACAGCTCGCTGACGAGCTGCATGTCCTCTTGGCTTGACGGAGATGCTGCCTCCATTGTGATCCTCTCCAGGTCTGTAAACTCCAGCCACTCTCCCTCGCTCTCCTCCTGTCGCTGCGCTGCGTCGCTGGTGCCCCGCTGACCAGCCGCCTCAGAGTCAGGCTCCTTGTCGAAGCCGACTGCTTCGAGCTTGGTTGCTGCGCCTTCGAGATAGAAGGGCAGCTCCTTCATCATGCGTCGAGCATCCTCCGTGGAGCCGAGGAGGATGCATAGCTTGGACCCGTTCCAGGACTTGGTGTTCAAATCCTCCTCCATGTCGATGCCTTCAACGTTGATCTCGAGCCTGTTAGCGATCTCCAACAAGACTCTCTTGACTCTTGCGATAGACGTGTTGCCGCCGTTGCACAGCCCCTCCATCTCCTTCCTCGTGAAGCGACCAGATGCCGCCGTCGACTTGATGATGATCTTGATCTCCTTGCCGTCCTTGCCGCCTGCCTTCTTCTGCAGTCTTGATGCCTTCTTCAACTTATTTCTGGACACAAAGCGATCAGCTGTCAACTCGACTGCGAGCGCCTCTCTGATCTTCGGGTCCTCGCTGAACAGAGTCAGGTGTACTCCCTCCATCGCTTCGCTCTCTCGGAAAGCTCGAAATGCTGTATCATTCGCCTCTGGGCAGCTCGAGGAGACGATCCACTCCACCTCCCTCTGTCTCCAGATGACGTTGGCCCCTACAGCGATGAACTTGCTGTCCTGGCGCCCCAGCGACCAGCATGCCTGCCAGCGGCTGGAGTTGGACCGCTGCAAGGGACTGGCGCAGCAGCTGATAGCGATAGACGGCAGCTATCTCAGCCGTTGTCATGCCGCCCAAGGTTAGCAGGTGAGTCAGCTCTGCCAAGCTGCCCCCTTTGCCCCAGGGTCCTCTCTTGGCTCGAATCTTGAAAGATCGATCGTGCACGATGCTCACATGTACAGCTGTGAACTTGCGACCATCGATCGCGAAGTCCTCTCTTCCCTGCCAGAGCTTCTCCGCTTGTGCATTGCGGAGGAAGGAAACAGTCACCGGGATCTCCTCAGCACTCGCTATCTCGGGTCTATACGGAGCCTTCCACATGATTGCTTTACTCTCTTGCACTGAGTCTACGATCAGTCCGATCTCTTCAAATTTCTTCTTCAGCTTTTCTTCATGGTTGACATACACCGAGGAGATGCCCAGGAGAGTCATGGAGATGAAGGAAGTCACCTCGCCGCAGTGCCTGCTGAGGCGGTGTATGTCTCGACCTTCTCCTTCTTGGCTTCTTCAATCTGCTCACTCCATCCAGTCATCGCTTCTTGCAGAAACTCACGTCGTGCCTGCCAGTGCTGACATGTCGAGCGGATGGCTTCTGCGATAGCGTCGGGGGTGCATCCCTCCACAGCCTTGCAAGCCTGGGCTGTCCTGCTGTTCGGATAACGCTTCGCGAAGCTCTTCACCCTCTCGACGAGATCAGCTTCGAGGACAGAGGCATCCACAAGTCCGCTCTGCGTGTATTGGCATGATCTCCGATACAGCAGGTTGCGAACATTTTCATCATACTGAAGAACCATACTTAGAAAGCTATTTGAAGTATACAAACCTCTCGCTTGCAGCTTCCTTGGCGCCCTGGCGGCTTCCCCTACACCTGACGAGGAGCCATGCTGCCGAAAATAACGGCGCCCTGCCGAAAATAACGGCGCCCTGCCGAAAATAACGGCGCCCTGCCGAAAATAACGGCGCCCTGCCGAAAATAACGGCGCCCTGCCGAAAATAACGGCGCCCTGCCGAAAATAACGGCGCCCTGCCGAAAATAACGGCGCCCTGCCGAAATTAACGGCGCCCTGCCGAAAATAACGGCGCCCTGCCGAAAATAACGGCGCCCTGCCGAAAATAACGGCGCCTGCCGAAAATAACGGCGCCCTGCCGAAAATAACGGCGCCCTGCCGAAAATAACGGCGCCCTGCCGAAAATAACGGCGCCCTGCCGAAAATAACGGCGCCTCTAAACCCTAAACCCTAAACCCTAAACCCTAAACCCTAAACCCTGCTTGGCCTCATTTTGGGCTAAACTCTTAACCCTAAACCCTCACTTTAACCCTAAACCCAGCTAAACCTAAATGACCTGATCAGTTGAGCAATAGGAGCCGGTGAATAGGAACATAATGCCTGAGCAAGCTTAGCTCGACTAGAGATGTAAGTTTGACGCTGTTTCTTCCTGTTTTCTTTATTGCTTCTCTTGAAGGTCTCTAATCAACTTGTTTGCCTAGTTGTTTGCAACTATAAGATGTCGGATAATGTCAAAGTTGCTGTTCGTGTTCGTCCCTTTAACAACAGGGAGAAAGAGAAAAATAGCGTATGCATCATATCCATGCATGAGAAGTGAAACATTTTATCTTACCTTTTGATCCTAATTAGTTACCCTTCTGTACAGAACAACGACAATCAGAAATCCTGAAAGTAACGAAGAGAAAAGTTTCGCCTTCGATTATTCTTATTGGAGTCACAACCCTTCCGACCCAAACTTCGCAACACAAGCGGTATGATCTCTCATCAACAAACAAAATTATCTCAAGCATGTTCAGATCGTCTTTAACGATCTTGGTATCGGAGTGCTAGAGAATGCTTGGAAGGTTTAGATCGCATCGTATTTCAACAAAAATATTGCTGATGATCTGTAGGGTTACAATGTCAGCCTGTTTGCATATGGGCAAACAGGTATCACGTTGGAAATTCATCGGCTAAGTTGACACTCACTCAGGTTCGGGAAAGTCTTACTCCATGGTTGGTTATGGCGTGGATAAAGGCATCATCCCTTGTGCCTGTCAAGGTGATGTCGTATCGAAATGACCTGCCATAACATCGATTGTCAGAATTGTTTAGAAGAATCTCAGAGAACCCGGATAGTACAGTTACATTTAAGGTACTCTAACTCACGTCAAGAATATGACAAAGCATGAAAAGTATTTTCAAAGGTTGAAGCAAGCATGATGGAAATATACAACGAAAAAGTCAGAGACCTGTTTAACCCCACAAACAAAAGCAATGAGAGTGGGTTGAAAGTACGAGATAATTCAAAGACGGTACTTGATCCCTGAAGTCTTCCAGAACCTGAACTGAAAACAGGGCCCTTACGTCGACGGTCTTGCGCTCTTACCCGTCAAGGATTTAGCTTACATCGAGCAATTGATGGATGAAGGAACTCGAGCTCGTACTGTTGCTTCAACGCAGATGAACGCAACAAGCTCCCGTGCACACACAATCTTCACCATCATTCTGACGCAAACGACAACAAACATGACGACAATGAAGGTAATGGACAAGGTTAGCAAAATAAATCTCGTGGATCTCGCTGGAAGTGAACGTGCAGCAAGCACTGGAGCAACGGGAGATCGCTTAAAAGAAGGAGCAGCAATCAACAAATCTTTGTCCGCTCTTGGCAATGTTATCTCAGCTTTGGCAGATGCAAGCGAGAAGAAAGGAAAACAAGTTTTTGTTCCTTACCGAGACTCCATCTTGACTTGGTTGCTCAAAGAATCTCTGGGAGGAAACTCAAGGACAATCATGATTGCTGCTTTATCCCCCGCCGACATCAATTATGAGGTACAGCTCCGCTTCCACTCCAATCTTGTCTGATTCCATGTGCAGGAAACTCTTAGCACCTTGCGGTATGCAGATCGGGCTAAGCAAATCAAGAACACCGCCATCGTCAATGAAGACCCAACCAAAAGCTGATCAGAGAGTTGCAGGAAGAGGTAGAACGGCTGAGAAAGCTTGCAGAAAAATCCACTCCGAGCGAGGTTGAGCTTGAATCTTTGACAGCAGCAGCAAGGAAGGAGGCTGAGGAAGCAGCTAGGGAGAAGTCCAAGCTCGAAGAGGAGCTGGCGGAAAGCAAGAAGCTCCTGGAAGAGCTCAACAAATCATGGGATGAAAAAATCAAAGATGCTGAGGCGATGGAGTCAGATAGGAAGCGAATCATGGAAGAGATGGGAATCGCTGTATCGGAGGATGAACTCTCGATGCCACAGTTGGTCAACATAAACGAAGATCCGATGAAGTCTGGAGCTGTCATCTACGCCCTGCGCGGCGGGACTACAACTGTAGGCAGACCAGATGCAGACGTGCCGCAAACTATCAAATTCGTGGGGCTCAACATGTCGAAGGAGCACTGTCGCATCATCAACGATGGTGGAGCAGTCAGCATTGTTAAAGTTGGCAACTCTCGCACCTGGATCAACGGCATTATGCTTGACTCCGATAGCCCGCAGCTTTTGAAACAAAACGACAGGATCCGCTTCGGCAACAACCATCTCTTCCGCTTTAACAATCCCCTGGAAGCAGCCGAACATGAAAGGCTTCGTCAGCAGGCAATATCCAGGGGAGAAACCCCTCCAGAAGCCCCAGTCATCGACTGGGAATTCGCTCAGCACGAACTTGCAATTGCTGCTGGACATTCAGATGTGTTGGTGGAGAGCGAGCAAGAATTGAAGATGGCAGAGGAAATGAAGAAGAAAATTGAAGAAGCAGAGACAAGATTGCAGCAGGAACGCGAAGAAGTGCAAAAGAAACTCGAAGAGCAGCAGCTCATAATTCAGAAAAAGGATGAAGAGATGAAAAGCCTGGTTGGAAAGGAGAAGGAGGAAGCGCAGAAGAAATTCGAAGCAGAAGAGCGCGCACTACTTGAGCGTCAAAAGCAGTTGGAGGAACAACTGCGGCACAGGGAGGAAGAGGCTGAGCAGCTTCGAGCACAGCAGAGCAAGAAGAGGAGAGAAAATGAATTACTGCATGACAGGATCGTATCCATGCTTCCGCTAATCCACGAAGCAAACATGATCAGTGAGGAGCTTGACAAGGGATGTAAGTTTGAGCTCAAGATTGTGCAGAGAAATGTCATGGAGACTAGACAGAGGATGAGGAGAAACTCAATAGGCTCCTTGCAGAATGAGAACACGATTGCTGTCAGAGTAGTAGATACATTGACAGAGAAGAATCGACTGTGGTCGCGGGAAAAGTTTATGGATCGCATTTACAGCATGCGAGATTACTATCATAGGGAAATCCACCTGCTGGACAGCGAAGAAGAAGATTCGAAAAAAGAAGATCCATTCAGAGATGTCGACGACGATGTTGTGTTGGGTCATGCTCACGTCTACCTTGAGAGGTAAAGTTGTTTTCATTCACCTTCTCTTTTGCAGCTTGCTGCTTCATTCCTTCTCTTTGTTGACGTCTCTCTTTTCTTCTTTGCTCTTCAGTGTCAAGGAGCATTAACTCTGTAATTTGCATTCTTTTGCTTCACCTCTGTTCCTTCAGATGTTTTCTTTGCATGCGATACATGAATTCTTTCTCACCCTGTCCCCCTTTTCCCTCACTGAAATGTTCTTTGTCAGTCTTTACTGGCTAATTCCAATTGAACTGACGACGCCAATCATCGACTACAAGGGAAAGTCGGAGGGCGAGATCAGCGTCAAGATTGAAGTGCTCAACGAGCAGGGCAAGACCTTTGAGGTGGAGGATGGAGTGCCAGCAGAAAACATCCGGGACATTTGGATGTCAAATGCAGTTCTGCAAGTTGAGATTTTGTCTGCTCGAGGTCTTCCCGATCATCTTCACAACTACTTGGTCGTCTACATTGACTTCAATGAGCAAGAGCACTACACAGAGAGATGCAACGAGAGAACGTCTCAGCCAATATTTAATCACAAGAGAAGATTTCCAGTCGTCCTCAACGAGGAATTCGAACAGACCCTGTTAGCAGAGGCCATCTCGTTCCAGATCCAAGGAGTAGAGTCTTTCAATCCCAATCACGCCACCCGGAAGGGAAACTTTCGTGCGTCCCATGCAGAGATTGCCGAGATGAATCAGAAGAATGAAAAGAAGCAACGAGAGCTCGAGGAGAAGGAAGCTCGATTGAAAGAGCTGGAGGAGAATCTTCTCCGACCAATTACCTCTGCATCTGCATCTTCGGAAATCAAGAAGGAGGGATGGAGCTCCGATATTCTCATAATCGAGGAAGAGGACGATGACGATCTGAATATGCGCCAATATGAAGCGGGCACTGCCTCGAACACGAAGCCCGAGACAGCTGAAAAGTTGGCAGAAGCGGAGAAATTCAGGCAGGAACTAGAAGCTGCTCGACTGGAGAAGCAAAGAATCGAAGAAGAGCGCAAGATAGAGGCCAAGCGTCTGCAAGACGAGGCAAACAAACTGAAACAAGAGAAAGAACGGCTTGAAAGAGAGTTGAAGACAATGAAGGATGGCAGTAGCTCGCAAAACATTAAGGAAGACATCGAAAAGGAGATCCAAAATAGACTCCAACTAGAAAGACAGAAATTGCAGAAGCAGATGGAGGAGGAGGCAAAGAAGCTGCAGGAAGAGCGTGATCGACTTTTAAACGAAAAGACCCTGCAACAGGAACCCAAGACTGCACCTGCCCGCTCAGGTTTGTTCATTGCTTAAAAGTATGGAACTGACGAGAGTCGAGCAGATGATGAAATAAATAAGATTCTTGAGGAAAAAGCTCGCATGGAGGAAGAGCTCCGTGCGCCTCCTCTTGATCATGACAGTCTCTCACACCTGATGTTTGACAGGAAAAGTTCGAGAAGAGCAAAAGGATGCGTCGGAGAAGATGAAGCAGCTTGAATCGGGCAACAAAAAGAGCAAAGCATGCAATATAAGCTGATTTTTACATTAACATGGAGACAGATAACATGGTACACAGACAAAGCAGAATGAAAAAATACAAATACGAACAGCAAAGTAAAAGAGAAATTAGGAGTTACAAGAGCTGCTTGTCACCCAAACACGTTTGCCTGTCAAATTTGTCAGTTTCTCCGCACAAAGATTCATCGCTCTACTTGTGAGTTTCGACGTCCATGTAGCATGCCGAAAGCCCTGCCGGCATGTTCTCGTAGATGTTGCAGTCTTTGAAGATGACTTGTCCTACAACCTGCTCCCTGGTCCACCATCTCTCAGCATTGGTCTCCACTATTCGCTTCCTTACCATCCATCCAAAACTGGAGCACCATCATAGAGGACGAACGAGAGCCCTCCAGATGCAACCTTTTGGCCAGGCTGCGCTAAAGGACTGAAATACCCTATCGAAACATCAAGCCCGTCCTCCGCTTCCAAACCCCCACAAACCCCCGTCCCTCCCCATCTTTTGCTGTCTACTCGCCTCCCTCCAACCTGTGAATCGCTCCCCTGTAGCATAAAAGGGCCACTGATCGGTCAATCTTGGGTCAGCAGGAAGCTCTTTTGTGAACCACGCGGGCTCGTATGGATTGCTTGCAGTAAGACCTGTCCCTCAGTCAGCTCCATCCCGCTCCTTGACCCCTTTTCTCCCTCATGGTTCTCACCAAGGCCATTTGGCAGCAGGGTTGCACTGTGGGGATCGAGGTACGGATTCCCGTTGAAACCAAAGCGTAAAAGAGGAAACTCGCGGTAGTCGCTGAGTCCAAGCTTGTAGTAAAACCTTCCTGCGGCGTAGAGGAAGGGAATCCGCGCGACTTTAGTGCTGACAAATGCAGACAAAATCCCTCCTGCACTACAATTAAACTTGCAACAAGCATGCACGCATTTCCACCAAATCTGCTCGCAGTGTTTTGAAAGATGGTTGTGTTGTCAAATAGTACTGAAATACTGCGAATTACCTAAAAAAACGATCACAAGCATGGCGATCTGTCAGAACCGAAAACACGTTTTCTTCAACTCGCAAAACTGCGCCATAACCCGCAGAATTATTTGAAATCTGGCAGGGTACCTTGAGCTCATTCACAAAAACGATCAAGAAGATTCACCAGTGTGTCTCTGACATATAAAGAACCTCCATCCTTCATTCCGAAACATCCACCCATGCCGTTGGGTCCACCAACAAAATTCTGTATGAACGAGCTCCCCTCAATCGAAGCTGATCCAGAACCGAGAAAGAAAATTGCTCCTCCATTTCCTACTTCCTGTAGTTGAAACAATTGAGCATTTGTCCCGACAGTAACAAATCATACATACCTTGGTGGAGCCGATGACTGAGTTATTGAGAAAGTTGCATCGTAAAAAAGCTGTCAAACAAGGCAAAACTCTGTAGGAAATTTTGCAATCGCACTCTCGAGCGAGCTTGTATGGTACGGCAGACATGTTATAAAGTATCGCTCCTCCATACAGGCGGGCAAAATTGAAGTTGAAATCAACTTGGGCAAAGATAGCACTTCCACTGAGAAGCGCGAGCGACCCTCCTCCTGTAGCGACATTTCTTTCAAAGAGCGAGTTCGTAATGATCACTGCTGCAGATCCCTCCAGCACGATAGCTCCTCCGTCTCTCCTCGCCGAGTTCCTGCTGAACTCGCAGCGTTGGCAATAAAAGCTTCCTCTCGAAACACGCAGAGCTCCTCCCATGCTTGCCGAGTTGTTCTCAAACTTCACATCTGCCATGTAGACTTGAGGAGACATGGCAAACATTTGATCCAACGATGCTGCTTGCTGCAAACCTCCTCCTGCGATTATCTTCCGGTAGCCCAGAGAAAGCGATGAGCCATCATGTTGATATTCAACATCACTAAATCTACAGTCGCGAAAGTCTACCATGGAAGAGTCAATCTCCAGTCCGCTCCTTCCTTTCGAGAACGCACATCTCGAAAAGCGCACGATGCTCCTTTGAAGCAAGATCGAGACCGAAGAGGACAAGACAAGACTATCGGAGAATACAAAATTGCAATCAACGAATTCAACATTGAGGTCAACGACAACCAGCATAGGCGATGTTTTCATAAGAGGTGAAAAAAAATATCCTCCTCCACATGAGATTACAACTTTCGCTGGCCCTACAACAGTTTCCTCCAGGCTTAGATTTCTCCTCAGAAATGGAATATTTCTTGATTTCGCTTCAAGAAGAGCAGATTCTTCATTCAGCCTGAGCTGAAACTTGTGACTCTTGATTGAAGCCTTGACTTGCTCTTTTGGATTAGGACTGCTCTGAGCTTCCGTGTCGACGCGTGCGTCTTGTCCCAGGAGTTCTTTAGGTGATGAAGGCAATGGCGGAGTCGGAGTAGTATGTGGATGTAGCAAGATTGGTGATTTGGGCATCAATTGGGCCATGGAGGATTCAGAGGTCGATGCAGATCGATGCAATGACAAAGCTTCGCCATACTTCAAAGAAAGGAGTTGATCAAGTTCTTCTTGTTTGAGAAACCACTCATTCACCATGTCCTCGAGATCCGTCAGCTTTGCTCTATTATGCTTCATGTAGTATGTCCTCAGACTTTCTCGGAAAGAATCTTTGGATTCATCTACTTGATTCATCGGCCTCTCCTCCATTAGACGTCTTGTGCGGACAAGCTTGGACGGAGCGAGCAGCGAGTCTCTGACCTCGATCATACCTCCCACATCGGTTGTCTTGGTTCCCTGATAGTACAGAGTGTCAGGGGCACTGGCCCAAACATGTAGTTCAACTTCTCCTGCATCTGCTCCATTGTTTCGCGTCCCTGTGGTGTATGCATGGTCGAAACCTACTCCTTTCTGCGTTGTTAAGACAAACCCTTCCACTGAGTGATTGGAATTCTGTTCTGCTATCGTAAAGATATAGATTCTTGGCTGCTTGTATTCAGACGGTCTGGTAACGATGAGTGTCGGTCTTTCCACTCCGTCAATAAAAAAAACCATCTTCGACTCAACAAGACTCGGTCTGAAAGAAACAGTGTATCGTACCACCAGAGGTGTCCAACCCGTTCCGTTCCAAGCAAAATTGTCGTAAAAGCCGCCTAATGATTCATCGTAGCGTGGAGTCTTGACAAAATGACCGGAACTTGTAGAATTCCATGCGTATACAAAGTCTTGTGAAGTGACGCTTCCTCGCAGAACAATCGTCTTGACATCATTCATCTCCAACCCGCCACTTCCAGTACTGTAATCGCCATCAACAAGATGAACTTCTTTCATCTCTTGAGAAAATCCTTTCACATCCACAGACTTCTGGAGCGCATCAGAAACACTTGGATCACTTGTTGTTGTGTCCCCTATTCCTCTGCCAACACAACTGGCATGGCTAAGAAGTCCCGGCTCTGCTGATCCCCCGAACACTTCATCATGCGAAATTTTCGATCTGTCGATTATGTAATCAAAGTCTACGCTTGCGTTGCCGTATTCTTCGCATTGCGCGGCATAGAGTCCTACTTCAATGGACTCCCACGCAAAATTCAGCTGAGGATTCATCGCAGTCCACTCGGTTTCTGCATCCTGCCGCCAGAAGGCAGTAAGTGTTTGGTTGGTGCCCTTTTGGAGGCGAAGATGAACGTGCGTCGAATGAAATCTGTCACGCACACCGAAGACTTCCTCCAGGACGGTTCCGTATGTAGTCCACTGGTCAAAGAGGTGAGTTGACAAAATGCGAATCTAGACAAAACGCTCACCTGCAGTCTACCCGTGTCCCCCGTGTCCAACACCCCGACCTTGACCCATTCCATGGTGACTCCGTCGGATGATACGAAGTGCCATGGCGAACGGTTTGAAACTCCATGAACCACTCCAAGTACGTACAGCCCACCAATGACACAGGAAGAGTCATTATTCATCAACACCATCCGGGTCTCAACGTCAAAAGAGGAATTCCCCGGAAGATGATATGCAAGTCTGTGTGCTGTATCATTCACGAAAAACTGCCTGTAATGTCTTGGAAAGATTCGCAACCAACCTGACTTTGACAAACTCACATCCCAGCACTTCCCTTGCACAGGATTGTAATGTGTGAGTCTTTCGCGCTCCTTCAAAGAAAACTCAGTTTTCCCATCTAAGCAAGATCCAAGAGGCTCATTGATCCACATCAGCCAGGGATTGGTGATTGAAAATTCATCGAAACTCTCGTTCAGCTCCTTGTAGCTGCAGAGACCCTGATAGACAGGATCACAGTATCGCCCGATCCGACTGTCGTGGCAATTACTTCTTCCTGGTTCTACCTTGAAGTGCATCTCGGACGTGACCAACATCGAGAAGATTTCAATCTGCCCTCCTCCACCTCCTCCTCCTGGTAATACATTCGGTTCCGTGGAAAAACTATGCGTGTGTCAGCAGATATCAACATGAAAAGACTTTATCTTACCTGCCTCCACCAGACGCAGAAACAAGTCCATTTCCGGATATGATTGGAGCAATCATTGAAACAGATCCCCCTGCTCCTCCTCCACCGCTGACAGACCAATTCAGAACTGTAGAACTCGTCTGAAGAACCAGCGTTGTTTCTCCGTCTGCTGAAATTGTTCCATTCATATCTATTGTGTTCAATGCAAGAAGTCTGATCCTTCCTCCTCCCCGTCCTCCAGGATTGCTGACTTTAGGTTCTGACAAGCAATCACAACCTAATCTCAGTAGATCCTGCCATCCCATTGAGCTCGAGGTGTCCACTGGACAGCAGTACTCCGTCAGTGATGACTCGGCATAGCCATCAGCACAAGAAAAACGATTTCTGAGGTTTACAACCAAACCATCATCAGTCAAATTCGTCCCTCGCTTCAGACATTGCAAGTAGTCTTTTCGAACCCAAGACCCGCTGGCTTTTCCCGTCAGATCCATTACGTTGCCCTGCCAATTAGAGTTTACAATCTTTCCGTCGCCAATACTCAGAAGTCCTTTCTCTATCCTATAAACATTTGACAACAATTCATCTCCGGGAGGCAAGGATTGTATAGGACCTACAGAAACCCCATTTTTGTTCACCATTATTTGATAGTTGGTTGTGATATTATAATTGACTTCAGTCAATCCATTCCCTCCTCCACTTCCAAAATCCCACAAGCTTTCATTGCTATTTCCAACATGCAGACCTTTTGCACCCAAAAAAAGTCCTGTGATTGACTTCTTGCAAGCGAAATCCCCGTCTCCTATATTAGCACCTCCACCACCTCCTCCCATCGAGCTTCCTCCAGGACCAGAACCAGATTCTGCCGCATAGCCAAGAGCAGCAGCAGAAACAACGCCGCTCTCCGTCACTCCTAAGCTGTTGGAGCTATTAATCTCAATTGTGGCAAAGCGAACGATTCCAGCAATCATCAAATCTTGACAAAGAAGACTCAGTGTGGAGTTTCGCTGCGAGTCACTTGCCAGTAATCCAGAAGACTGACTTATAACAACTCGAGAGGAATTGATCCAGAGGTTGCATCCCATTACTTGCGCTCCTCCTTCGACTTGCAGAGTTTGTGCAGAGATGTAAATCTTGTCACAGTCTGACGAACATCCCGGCATCAGATTTTGTGTTGCCATGCTCATTCCACATGTGACGCCACCCAATATCCCGTCATAGACATGTAAGACAGAAGCACTTAAAAGTCGCCGGTGGGAGGCCAAGAGGGATGACTTGTTGGTGACCAGAAAGCTTGTAACGCACTCCGAGTCTTGTGGATGAGGAAATTCCAGCTGGGCTCCGTTTCGAACGACGATACGTGAAGGGCAAGAAAAAAGAGAAGGAAAAGGGGTCAGCGCAGATGCGTAATCAGATCGCCCATTGTCGATCATAAGCAAAGAAGAGTTGTCAAAAATGAGGTACAACAAACCTGCCCCCCCGGCTGAGCAAATTCCTGGAAAACCTCTTTGTGTTTGATAGGAGATTCCGCTGTATCCTCCTACAGCAGTTAACCTCAAGTTCAAGCTCTTGTTGCTCGGAGTTCGTATTTGTATTCCTCCTCCGCCCCCGCCCCCGCCTGGAAGACCGGAACCACATCCATCAAACGTGTTTCCTCCTCTTGCAGAAAGGAGTCCGGAGCCAAAGATCCAATGAGAATCGATCCATATTGAACCCCCTGCTCCACCTCCACCAGAGAACAAGCTCGAACTTCCAAGACCTTGTATGAGGTGAGAAAACTCCTGATCGCTCTTGGAGCAATAGGTATCAGCCCCGTCCACGTTGATTATACCTTGCATTGTAATGTTCTCCTGCATGGTCACTCTTACCCTACCTCCTCCCCTTCCACCACGAAAAGTTTGCATACTTTCACTGTTTCCTCCTCCACTTCCGTAGATCCATCGTAGACCCGAAGTCACATTCACAATACCTCCCCCGACATCAAAGGAACAAGGCTGCGCTCCGTTACCCCCATTGCCGCCTCCTCCCCCTCCGGTCACTCCTGAGGCACCAGGAGAGGGCCCGCTTCCTGCAGGGTGACCAAGTGCCTTGGACATGATTCTACAGGTCTTAGAGAGGAAGGCGGAGATGCCAGAAATGTCGAGGGAAGATGATCGAACCAGACCATCGCATCTGAGATAAGTCGAGTTGATGTTGAGCTCAGAGAAAGTGAGCAGGTCTGCTGCAGAGATCTCACTTGTCTCATCCAACACAAACATATCAGTGACGGAGATATTCAAAGTCAGGAAATGAAGCTTTGATCCTTGCTGAACAATCAGGTTTTCGTCGCGATGCTGCGTGCACATCATCAGAACATGCATTTACACGCATCCAGAACTCACCTCATTGCAGGGCAGAGGGTTTGCTCGTCTGAACAGCCAGGAAGATTATTCATAGAATCAGTGCTGCTCCAACACATGAGACAACCCACAAGGCCCTCGTTTAGCACTATTAGCGTTTTCACTTGCAGAGCTGCGCTTCTCTCGCCAGCAGCCAAGAATCCCTTGTCTCTCACCCATACAGACAGTGCAGAAGAAATTGCGTCCGCCACAGGGAATAGAAATGAGGCTCTTCGTCTGACGATAATATCGGTCAGATTCGCATGCGAAGAGTCTTGGTAAGGAAAAGGAGTTATGGCAGACCAGAAAGAAGCAAAGCCATTGTCGACGATTAGAGTCTGATTGAACTCAATGAAGATCGTTCCTGCTCCACCTGCTCCACATCCATCGCTCGATCCTCCAAACGCAGAGATATTGAGCTCGAGCGAGATGAGATCGATCACGTCGCTGTCATGGTTTCTTAGGAAGATCCGCCCGCCAGCTCCGCCGCCTCCACTGATAGTTGAGGAACACGCGACTTGTACCGATCCTCCGGAGGAGCAAATGTTTCCAGCTCCAAGGAACTGCTGGGCACTAATAGAAATAGATCCTCCTGCACCTCCTCCTCCTGTTGAGAACGTAGGGTATCCACGGTTGCACACATAACTCTCGCCATTGGCGCTAATTGAACCATTCAACTGTACCTGTTTGGACGCAAACAATTTGATAATCCCTCCACCCCTTCCCCCTGGAACAGAATTGTTCCTGACGAGAATACAGTCACAATTCAAGCCCGAGCAACACCAGTCTCGCATGCTGCTTCCTCGCATACCGACTGGACAATCAGTCTTAAAGCGAGGAAGCTTCTCTGCAGGGGTGACGTACTGGGGCAACATACCAGGAAATAAGCGCATTCCCCTCAACTGGCAGAAACCACTGGTCAAGGAAGCGGATTCTCTCGTACGTTGTACTTGACGGACGGCAAACCCCACAGAAGATAAAGTTACGAGGTTCCAAGAGCCATTCCTTGACAACTTGACCTCTTCCTCTAGCTCTCCTGACGTCAAGTTCAGGTTGCCATAGCCGCCAGCACTTCCAAATTCTGTTGGAATGAGCTGATCATATGCAGCTCCTCCCGTCATATTCGAGGAGCATGCTTGAGCTCCTCGTCCTCCATGACCCCCTCCTCCCCCCCAAGGCGATTCGAAAGACCATCTCCAAGTCCGGTACCTGCCATCGCTCCACTCCCATCAGCAGAGATCAACCCAGCTTCGAGGATGCTGATATTGGTAACGTTCAATTGAATGATGGAAAAGTGTATTGTACCATTGAGTACTAAACTGGAGCAATCAATTTCAATCGACGAGAAAATATTCCAAGAGCTGGGATATAGCATAGCTCCTTGCAGTATAAACATGTTTTGTTGCACAAGAATGCTAATATTGTTTCCAATCATCTTGCTGTAGCCATCCATCACAATATGTCCATCGCACACAATCTTCCAATTCGGACAAATTTCATCACATGAATTCCTTAAAACATCGAGCGAACTTGTGGAGCAACCAAGACAACCGATCAGTCCATTTCTCAGTACAATCTTAGAAGAGACTGTGAGCATTGCAGAGGAGTTAGTAGCAACGACTGAAGCACTATTTTGGACAACAAGAACAGATAAGCTGCTTTTGGGAAATTCAGCAAAAGCACTATTCTGAACGTAAACCTGCTCCACAACAGCAGGATTGCATCCATTGACCGGATAATGAACTCTTGTAGAGTTCAAGCAACACACAATTTGACGATAGACGTTTGCTGCATACAACAAATCAAAAGGATATAGCAATATTCAAATGATTAGTACCTCTCTCCTCCCATTGAGGCCACGGAGTCAAAGCTACTTGAGTTGTCGGTTGATCCTGAAGGAACGCAAACGAAGATGCCAAATTTGACGATACCTTATATATTTCACCGTTGTCAAGAAAATAAACCATCCTATTGGAGTCAAACACAGTTCCTGCACCTCCACTTGCACATAAGGAAGTCCCTCCATGCGCATGAAGCAAGAGGTCCATGTCTAACGTGACATAATCGATCGCAATCCTTCCACCTCCTCCACCTCCTCCTGACGTCACCACCTTCACAGTGTCGCATGAACGATTTGCAGAACCGCCATTTGTGCTGACTACACCAGACCCAAGCAAGCGGGCAGAGGAGATCCAAATCGATCCTCCACTCCCTGCTCCTCCACCGGCTTGGGACAAGAAGATACCCCTGGTCACCTCTTTGAGATAGCAAGCACTATCTTCCCCGTTTGCACTCAAACGTCCAATGATGCGAACCTCAGTGCTAGTCAAGATTCTTATCGCACCACCGCCTCGCCCGCCTTCCACCATCCCATGTCCGCCTCCGCTACCTATTTGTGAGCCAAAATCTGCCTGGCAGTCTTCGAGAGTGATACAGACTCCCAGCATATTCGGAGCTACGGCTTCGCCATATCCACTGCCTCCATCCCCAGACCCAAGGGCACATCCTCCACTCCCGCGGCCTCCAAAACCTCCTCCGCCACCACCGCTGTCAGAACTGGACCCCGCTCCCTGACCTTCACCTCCAAAATGACCGAGAGCATCCGCAGAGATATGACCCTCTGCCCCGATAAAGAGGGAGATGCCTCTTACGAAGATGAAAGAGAAATGTAAATAACCGTAAATCTCCAAACATGAACAAGGAAAACAACTTATGTTGCATCCCACAGGAAGTTCTGACGAATATTTTGTTTCGACAAATTTCGGATGTATGTCAATCTGACATGAGGAGAAAAGGTTGGGCTCCACGTGAGAGAGTCTACCAGAAAGAGACAATTCCAAAGCCCCAGAAGTAATTTCTAAGCTGTTTGCTGCTACATGCCCTGCAATTTCCATTGAATTAACAGTGAAGTTTAGCTTATCTGAGAAGATCCTTGATCCATCGTCCAGGGTAAGCTTGCGGAGACTGTGGAAAGATAACGAACAATTCTTCGTTTCACAAAACAATCCTCCTCCACGAGCGAGGCGCAAACTTCCCATTGACTGGTACTCTCCAGTAACCGTAACCCTTACATTCAGAATATGTCCACCACATCGATGCCCAAAGAATTCATGCTCATTGGAAGTGAAGTCTAGATGTATTCTCCCATCCTTCGCAAAATTCGTAATGTCCACTTGATGAAGACATTCGTAGAAGGTTCCACAACCGGGAAAGCAGGCGCTCTTGTCTGAAATGTTGGTTCTCTCCTGACCTTTACATAAAACTCGAGTCTCACACTCGCCCTGGAGCAGATGACCATCGATCTTCGTTGACTTGAGCTTGCTGGTCACGAAGGCTGATCCTTCCTCCATCTCCACGGTAATCGATGCCCATATGAGATCAGATTTTGAAGGAAGGAATTCGACCAGGTCTATGGCACATGAGCAGTCCAATGAATCACAGTGAGTCGTGGTTGTCCTTACAAATGGCGTCACTCCCATCCCACTTATCGTGTAATTCCCCGGAAAGCTCAAAGGTCTGGATATCACACACTCACTATCAAGAGCTCCTTCATCGCAAAAATTCCCCCCGCGCAGGCCGTCGGCAGGTATTGAGCCAGGAGGAGAATCTGGAGGATGGAACAAAGGAGCGCCAGGCTGCAGATTCAGTGCATAGTCACGTCGTTCAGCGTAGGGTCCTCGATCGAAGGGAGTGCTAACAGGAGGCGACGAGACTGTGTCATCAACAGTGGGTACCGAGGAAGACCATCTTCGCTCGACATCCAAATACTTCTGCTTGATGACTTCAGTGATAGGATAGTAATTATCTTTTCGCCAGAGATTTTGATCTGTTGCATGAGGATGAAGAGGGTAGATGAAGCCACTGACAATGCTGATATGAATAACGAGAAGACAACATGAAGAGAATGGTTGCATGTAGCCTCACTCTCGTTCGATGGTCTGCACCCAGAACAAGCAACAACTATCAGACATGCTAGTCGCGAAGTTCAAGATGTGCGGGGACAAGCGAACAATGACATGAGCCCAGCATGTTATGTGCAGTCATTTCAACAAGAAACCAGCTGCTTCATCTCTCCATGAGCTCGCAATCGACTGCTTGACCTACTCCCGGGCATCTCATTGCCTGAAAAACTCAACGATCGTCCTATCTACACATATAACCCCTCTACCCCCGGAATCCCTTCTTTTTATTAGAGAAATGCCTTGGGGTGGGGTCACAGTTTGAGGACGCAATGACGGATCCCGACAAAGGAACTTGTGAGAAGCAGGAGCAGGAGCAGGAGCAGGAGCAGGAGCAGGAGCAGGAGCAGGAGCAGGGACAGGAGCAGGAGCAGGGACAGGAACAGGAACAGGAACAGGAACAGGAGCAGGAACAGGAACAGGAACAGGAGATGTACGAGGTGCATCTGCAGCACTGAGCAGCATGTTCAGAAGCACGAGCACGAGCACGAGCACGAGAGTTGCCAGGAGCCAGGAAAGCAGGAGGCAGCAATAATGTGGCTTCCACCTCTATGCTAGCATCAGACCAAGATCGCCGAAGCACATTGATTCTAATTTGCAGATATGGAACCATACTTGACTTGGAATGCGATGAGAACAAAATTACCTTGCAAGCTGTCAGATCTCGTCACACCTGCTTTCATTGTCGACATTGATGTCGTCAAGAGAAATTGTGAAAACATGATTGCTAAAGCCAAAGCAGGCAAGTAAGTATACCAAGATATCTTCATATAACGTTGAGCTCGACCATTCCTGACACTTTTCAATTGAAGTGTAAAGCTTCGGCCAAATGTAAAAACTCATAAGACAATGGAAATCGCAAAACTGCAAGTTGATGGAGATTTGTCAAATGGAATCGTTTGCTCAACATTGGCAGAAGTCAGTTTCTTTGCTTCCAACGGGTTTAGTGATATCACCTACGGAATTCCGGTCTTTTGCATGCCGGTGAGTTGTAACATGATTGACATTTTGCCTCAGATCACCTCCATCAAGCTCTTTCCATTGTACCAGGCTAGTTTTGTTCGTTTAGTCTGCCTTTTGAATTCAAGCTCTTAGATTTCCCAAAGTACTGGATGCAAGATCTCTTTAATCGTAGACTCTGAGGTTCAGGTTGATGAGCTCAAAAACTTTATAGAGGATCAAGAAAATGCGCATTTTGGATGCTTCTTGAAGATCGACACCGGATATCATAGAGCTGGGGTTGACATCAGGTTGAACAGGGCAACTGGTTTGGTGCGTGACCTTTTCATTCAGTCTAGAATCGCTGACTTTTCATAGGAGCTCGCGCAAAAGATATCAGGAGAGAAAAACATAACTTTTCGAGGTATCTACAGTCACTCTGGTCATGGCTATCAGGCTCAAGACACGTGCGATGAATCTTGGTTTACTCAAAAAGTAACCTTGTGTACAGAGCAGAGGCACAGAACATTTGTTTAGAAGAATGCAAGATGGCGAGGTCTTTTGCTGATTTCTTGATTGAGAAAGGCCTCGATTGCCAAATAGTTTCTATTGGTATAGCAGCTCTTTTAAGTTATGTGCGTGCTGAAAATGCTCTTCATGAAGGTAGCACCCCTTCTTGTGGAAGTTCAAATCAATTCCCTGGTGTCACAGAAATCCATCCCGGAAACTATGTGTTAAATTCGATGCTTTCCAGCAGGATTTTTGACTTTTTGCTAAGGTGTTCTTTGATCGCCAACAGGTGCAAGCCGGAGCTTGCAAGGAGGCAGACGTTGCGGTGCTCCTCTTAACTTTCTATTCATTGCAAGCTGAGGTCTGGTTGGAAGGTTCGAGTCTTGACACGCGTTATCGGGCATTACGAAAGTTCGGGTCACATGCTTTGTGACGCGGGGTAAATTACTTTTGTCTTAACACATGGGATTGAAAATAGATATTTTATAGATCTCTCGCCATGTCGAAAGATCTGGCTCCGCAAGACGATCACTTCGGATTTGTTGAAGGCTGCGATCTTGTCCTTCAAAGCTTATCGCAGGAATGCGGGAAAGTCATGGTACAAGCCGATAATCTTCGAGAAGCGGCTGATTTATGTTTAAACCCAGACCAAGAAGACTTCCACAGGGAAGCGAGCACCTTACAACATGGATGATTACCCAAGAGGTTCTTTGCTCAAGATTGTTCCCAACCATTCCTGTAAAATTTCTTTCCCCTCAACGCGCCTCACGAATCAAACAGGTCTCACAGCTGCGTGCCATCCGCTTTATTACATTGTAGAGAACGACATGGTGAGCCTGTGCCACTTGTAGACGGTTTATAGAAGGTTCTCTTATTGCTGTTGGGACAGGTGATTGATATCTACAAGCCGTGCAGAGGCTGGTAGTTGCGAGTTCAACAAACCCTGCACCCTACATCCTCCAAGGTCTTGTCGCTTTGAGGGTGTGATGGTTCAAAGGATATTCTGTGATTGAGTGTTACACCGCAAGCGGAGAGACTCTGTAACATTCACCTTCCGTTGGACGCTCGTGCTTCTTCTAGCTCGGCCTATTCATTGGTTACAATTCATGTCGTTGCATCAAAATTCAAATCACTTGGCCCTTTCGTGTAATGTCATTGCCAGCCCATACAACAACTCTGCACACTGATAAATCAGAAACATCTGCATCTCTGTACAAACACGAATTATGAATCACCGTAACGAAGTATTCGCTCTGACAAGTCTGGCTAACACAGATGCCCCTTCATCGCAGACATAGTTCGCTCTTCAAAAAGGAATCATCTTTGCTCGTCTTTCTTTGAAGTAGGTCATCATACCGAAGATTCAAGTATTGAAGCATTTCATTCTGAAAAAGTGCTGCAATGTGGCGACATTGTCAATTAAGGACTTTGCAGTGAGACGAATATCTCACCTTGAGCAAGGCTAATAGCACCCGGGCTCCTAATGTTACAGGCTTTTCAATTGTCATGTCACACTCGCAGCCGCCACTCAATCAAACGGCAGGGTACCGTGAAGATCAAGATTGCGCAATGTTCTGTTTCCTACCAAAGCCTCGGCAAGTATCTTACATCCTTCATCTCCGATCTGGTGGGAAAAGTCAATTAGATCACCTTCACTGTGAGAGGAAGCCCCACAGCATTCGCACTGATGTCAAGGTTTCGAATGCTTCCCGATGCTAGGCTGTTGCAAAATGATTCAGCCGGCTGCCATCCAAATGTTTGGAACCTTCGAGAAATCCATCTGGTACCGAACGTCCCAATGTTGTTGCAGCTAATGTCCACAAATTCCCAAACGCTTCGTGAAACTATGTCACAAATACCCTAGGTATATGCTTGCAAGAATACCGTTGGGATGCAGATAAAATTTTGTAGAAATGTCTGCATCCTTCATCGCCAAGTTCTTGAAACGATAACTTAGCCACACTGTCTGCAGGCAGAATTAGAGCAAGGGATGGTAGATCTTGCAAAACCATCGGATTGTGCGAGGTGCTTTAAAGCAACCTGGGTATAGACTCATTCAGCATTCAAATATCAGCAGCGGTGTACCGAATAACGAGTGTTGGCAGGAATTTCTTCCGGGCAGAGCATCGTAACCTTCTCCTTTGCCATCCTGACTGCTGTGTTGCCATCCCTTGTCTTGTCCTGAGCTTCACCGCTCCCTGCCAGCTCATGTCCGGCAGTCTCTGCCATCCTCACTTGCCCATCCTCTGCCGTCCTCCCCCGTTCCTCTCCCGTTCTCCTCGCGCCTTGTGCCATGAGATCCTTAATCGTCGCTCGCTTTGTGCCCGACATGGCATGGACCCTACTTCCTGCTATGTCACCCCTACCCTCCCAAATCCCCACAGTGGACCCACCCTGAATCTTGTATCCCACCATGGAGGATTGACCGGGCGCAATGGCGATAAAGTTGCTACTGCTCCTTCTTGTGTTGCGAGCAGCCGGACGATCTCAAGCAAACTCCCCGGCTCTCCTGATGAGCTCCTCCTCGCCTCCTCTCCCCAATACTTCCCCAAGGGTTTCAGGTCTTTGCTTGGAATTGCGCGGGGGGGGGGATAATCTTTACGAGAAAAGTGAAAGAGAGGCAAGAACAAAATTATCCATGAATCAATTAAAAGAAGAGCATTGGAAAGAAATGCTACAGGAATGCAATTCAGATGAAATCGAGGATGATGACCTCTTGAATATGTATCAACAAGTTGAAAACGATGAGGAAGAGGATGAAAATGATCTAGCTACGACGCCTTCCGACGAGATGTGAGCGTTATAGAAGAGAACAAGATGAGATTCACACCTTTGAAAAAGGTTTCGAGAAGTGGTGCAGCATTCCATAGATGAAGATATTCCACGACTACGAAGGTCAGTCAATTTGGGGAAACACAGTGAGCGTGCCAACTACGTGACTTAGCTCCCTACGAAATTACCGGGAGCATCTTCCTCACGTATTGACTAAGCTAAGGCCTATAACTCCACTAATGGTATGCAAGCCGTTTGCGTGTAGCAGGAAGTATTTACATTATTTGATAGTTCGCAGCAAAGAGTGGAAAGTCTGTGAGCGTCCGTGTCTTGCTAGGTCAGCGAATTGTGAACAATGCATTCAAAAGTATTTCCCTTTAACGATAAGTTCAGACCATGGATCAAATGCAAGCCAAACAGGGCCTGGTGATATGAATGCCTTTCACATAGCAGGAATTCTTTATTTGAAATGATCAAAGCAATCTAATGTTTTCTCAATGCAGCTTCATCAGGTTTTACTCCAATTTGCAGGATTTTGTTCAACTTTGACCCAAATGTAAGAATACAAGTTGGAATTGACTTGAGAAGAGAAGCTGATAAGGTTTTTTGCCGCTGATAGCTACTTGAAACCTGCGATGCATTTGGGGGAAGGGCTGTTCACTATGCGGCGGATGATGGGCAGGTCTGCTGTGGAAAGAGAATGAAATTCATTAAGGTTCACTTTCAATCAGCTGGATGTATTGAAGTGGCTCCACTCCGTGAATGCGAGTCTTTCATCGGAGGGACCGGTCTGACGTTTCGGGTGGATTGTTCTAGAACTGGAGTAATTTTCGATTCGTTAGAATCGGGCGACACCCCTCCACCTCGCAAGAGATCGAAACTGGTTTGCACACTTCAACAGAGGAGAACTTCTTCATATCATGATTGATGTTTCACAAGGACGAACGTTTGCGACTTTCTAATGGAAGCATTGTGTCTTGACTCGTTGCCTCCAGCCTCACTGAGAGACATTCCAAAGGTTTGACATCGATTGTAGTTCTGCGTTGATTTTGCGACAGTCTAGGAATATATATGACCAGTTCGCATATCGCTATGATGATCTCAGTGATAGTGACAACGATTCAGACCAATCTTCTCAGGTGAATTGAAAACTTCTGTCGCCTCCCCGACTCTTTGCGCGTCCACATGTTCAAATCCGTTTACATTAGCACTAAATTGAAATTTACAGTTTGACGTAATCTCTGATATGGGATTGAGGTCGGCAAGCAATCCGCCGTTCGATTTATCGTTCAATGGAAGTGATCCTTACCAGCCTCTCTCGGATAGACATGGGCAAATTCAAGCGGGATCTCGCAAGCGAAAGTAAGTTGGCAATTTTAGCCAAGATACTTACTAGTTGTGAAGTTATTCGATGGCAAGGGAGAAAATCAACGATCGTGATGAAGATCAGGAATTGAGTTCAAAAGCCAGCAAGGACAGCTCAAGTTGCAAAGAAAAGAGTTCCGATATGCCATTCCAAGAAGTTGGAGAGCAACGAGTGAAAGTATGTTTCTGTTTTAATTCGAAGCTCCTGATGATAGACGACTTAGGAAATGTTCTCTCGCGAGTTGGAGGAGGCCAAAAAGAAAGGTGAGCAATATGAGAAATCCATTCTATTAGTGATTGTTTAACCCCAAAAAATCAATGCAGCCTTCGAGGACATGAATAGTGAGGAATGTGAAAAATTGTTCAATTTCAAATGAAAATAAATGTATCTAGCAAATGTCAATGTCAATTGTTGCAAATATGATCTCATGCTTTACTGTTCGTGATTTAGTACAGCATAAATCTGACAGACCTAGAAAAATACACCCGGAAATGCCGGGAAAATTGGATCGATGTCAAAGAGTGACGACCTCGTCTGACTGCAAGTCTGAAAAGCCGTGCGAGTCAGAGGACAAGAACAGATGACGGCTTGTCCTTACTTTCAGTTACAAATTGATCAGTGCTTCCTACCTCGAAGACCGGTAGAGTGGGAACAAGCAGCACCGCAGAGCCAGGTTTTCGATCGGCGTCATTTTCATCACCCCAATCGAAAAATGGCTGGCAACCAGAGGTTTTGACCGCTACCACCGCATGTCACAACTTTGACACGAACAATTAGACAATATACCTATTTTGTTCTTTCTCTCTTGAGAGGATCCGTTCTTCATATACCCCTTTTACACAGCTTAATCAGGTATATAGAATACCAACATAAAGTGACAGAAAACCTCTTGATCCGAATTCCTCGGAACATTCTCAGAAACTTGAAAAAGAAAATTTTACAAAAAAATATTCATACATAGATCATTCAGCAACTTTACCTTCAGGAACAGGTGAAGTTTGATTTTCCGGTATCCTTTTTGAATGGATCTTCCTTGGTCTTGTATTATATCCATTCACGTGTACAAGTGCTTTGCTTTCAAGGTGATTTTCAGACGTTCCCAAGTAGATTTTTCCGTTTTGATCTGCAGTCACCAACGTTGACTTTGACGCAAGATCCAGTAGGCTATCAAAAACTGATGAAGGATCTTTCTTCATGCTCATTTAGGTCGTTGCTGTGCTACAATCTGCTTTCTTCCTGCCACGTTCAGTATCAGCAATTCAGGCAATATCATGTAATTTCACAATTCGGAAAATATTCTGCAGTTCTGTTTATCATCCGAGTCATCTTTTCACTCCCTTGTCCGATTCAACGCAAACGAGTCGTCATTCCTTTTCGCTTCAGAGCAACATCCGTCATTAAAATACAATGAGGACCCTACCCTTGCTAATGTCATACCCTCCACCCACCCTGGTTGTGCCCTGGGACTACCCCACGTTTCTCCATATCTGACGTCAAGTTTGAATTACCCTACCTAATGCATATTGTTGACTTCGGTGGTTTGTGCTTGCAGGGCCATGAACTCTCTATGTCTGGCCGAATGGTAATGATATAGTTTATGGACCCAGGGCTGATGGAAAATGGAAAAAAATATAGCAAAGATAATGTTGTACTGGGATTTTTCAAGTCCAAAAAGAAACAAAAAAAAGTCAAACCCAGCTTGAGTCTCTAAACTCTTTAGCTTATTTCATTTCTGAGAGATCTTTAGCTTATTTGAATTCTAGCAGAGGAAGCTCAAGGACACGTGCGAATAAAAGATGGCAGTCAGCAGGTAGACAAAGACAAGATCATGAGAGAAGACAATGAGAGAAGACGATGATGAATAACAATCAGGGAGGAGTACTTCATTTGGACTGCCCCCTTCCTTCTTATTTGAACTTCTTCTTTGCATGTCAAGAAATTGCGCTTCCTCGCCTCCCCTCCCGGATCATGGTAGCGCTGCAAGCTCGCCGCAAGATAAAGAAAGGTAACGAAGATACATTTCTTTACTTTCTGTGCTGAAATTGATTGCATAGCAAGTGCAAAAGTGTCAAGTTAAAAAGAAAGCAGCGAGATTACACAAGCTTTCCGTGTGCTGTGCCAGCCTTGGAAGTGGATGTTTATACGTCAAGGCGGAGCGATTTTTTTGAAGAAGACAGCCGCTGCAAAGCACTCTTTGAAAGGCAATCCAAGCACCCAAATTGTGGTCAAACTAGTGATGCCAGCCGATGCATAGCACACTGCAAGCTCTCGATCAATTTAGATGCACAAATCAAATTGCCAAGCCTCGCTGAAATTGGGCATTGCGAGTTGTCTGTCTTTCAAGCATGCAGCTCAGGTCCTGCTGCTTTCTTTCCCAAAGACTTAACATGCGTGGATGTGATACCCTTGTCTTACTACAACAAGTACATCTTTCCTATCCTTCGTCCAGTTGTAATGCTGGTTGAGAGCAAAATTCCGGCAAGCAAAGATCATTTGTCCCTTCGTCAAGCGCTCGAAAAATCTGACCGCTTGGCCCTTGTCCAACTCAGATCGTTGACTATTCAATCATGTATCATTCATCAGCGAGTTTCGTGTAATGTTTGCTTGCAAGAGATTCTTGCTGTGACGGTTGGATCAAGTGCAATTGTACAAAAGGAGTTGAGACACTGGATACCGGATTTTAATCCAGATTGTCTTGTTGGAATATTTGTACAGTATAGGTGAATCTTCATTTATCAGGTATTGTATGTATCCTTGTTGTATTCTAAGCGATCTGCTTCATCTTCCCCTCTGATGAGAATCTTAATCAATAATCTAACTTTCGTTCTACTGATTGTTGTGATGATAAGATGTATCTGAGGGAAATATAAATCTGATTAGAATTCAATGTATTAACTCAATTTTTCCTAATTTCCTTTTTCAGGTATCTCGGCTTCTCGCGCAAGCAATAGCAGACCTGGATGTGTACATTCTTTTTGTTTTCTTTCTTTTGCAATGTAGGTTCTTCCCGATGTTAGCTAATTTGTCTTCATGAAAGTTAATCCTTTCCGTTTCCTTTCCATCCAAAACAAACAATCGATTTCTCTCATTTTTAAGTATCTTTTTGAGTGAAAGCATGTACAAAAAACTAATGATAAACTGTGAACAACTGCAACGCAGTTTCAATAATGTAGTCTCTGCCATGTATGCCGTTGTTCAGCGTCTCAAACCAAGACTTACTTATCCAAGAGGGTCCATGCAGGGCGCCAAGAAAAGCTCCCAAGATGCTGACGGATGTTGTGGTGTCTCCACCAGCATGCGTTGCCCATATCAGGCATTCGCGTGGAGTTCCCCATCGAATCGCAAAATTCCACAGAGCCGTTGGAACTGTGTCGATCGCTCTGCAAGCAAAAGGGATTGCCGAAGAGTGTCTTAATCCAGCAGATTCTTCCTTCTCCCTCAGCTCTGTGTACGACATATCCTCCGCCAGATCCAAGAGGTGCAGTATCTTGTAAATGCAATCTACATACCAGGTAGTTGGAGCATCCGAGATACGGTTTTCTGCTTCCTCAACGGTTTGAAATCCAGAGTGGACATTCGAAGAAAGCTTTCTTGATCGAGAAAATGGCTTTTTGACGACGTTTTGCATGCTTCTAGCCAATTGCGACAAAAACTTCCTGATATCGAACTGGGATGGTCCTGGACCGTCTGCTATGAGGGCAATGGCTTTTGCAACCATGAAAGCTGCCTTTTGAATGGTCAACAGGCTGCAAGAAATCAGATCTTTAAGCTTACATCATAGTCTCCATCTGAGGAGATCACGCTTTTCAGAACCTTATCCCTGTCCAGTCTAAATCAAGCATGGTAGTTCTCATCGAAATTTGATTCATTACCTCAATTCACTGTCCGAAAGACTTCTCCACGCCAATCCGACAGACGGAACTCTGAAATTCAAAGTGACTTTCGTCCTTGTTTCTCTTTCTCTATAAGTCTCTCACCGATATACTGAACTTGATCCATCTGTGGTCACTCTTCTAGGGTCAAACTCATCGCTCTCGGCAACTTGACATCTTTTGCATTCAAAGCTTGTCATCGTAGAATGCCAGCACAATATTCGCAGACCGTCCAGATCTGTCTCGAATGTATTGGGTCAAACTTTCCCCGTCTGTACCAAAGAGGCGGCCATGTCCCTGAATCACCTTCACCTGGTTGATTTTCAATCCATATGAAGTTTATGCGCTATGCAAACCGCATAAAATTCGGCACATCTTTGACTGATATGCCCAGGTACACTATCTCTCATTTCCTGTCCAGAGAATTCAGAGAGCATCAAATTGATGCATGAGCATCATCAATTACGATGAGACTTGTGGCAACTGCCAAAGCGAATGTAGACCTATTCGTGTAACTGCCAGGTTCCATCTCATGTTCTTCATTCTTGATATTCTTTCGACCATAAAGATCTCTTACACCAGAGGGATACCTGATCAAGTGGCAATAGATACGATCAGTCACGTTCAATCAAGCAGAAGGGAAGCAACATTACACTAATTCAATCTCATTCGATGTCCACCCTTCATGCGCGAAGCCAAGCGCATCTCCCACTGTTAAACCCAGCAGGCAGCCCAGATATCGATCTTCCATCGAGACAGAAATATCGTTGGAAAATCCAATCATCCAAATGAGCTCTGAATGTTGCGCCTTGTCGTACTCCAGAACGTTGACGAGGCATCCTGTGCTGCCGTTTGGCAGACTACCTCCTTTGCCTAAGCACAACTTGTCGTTTCCAAACATTCTGATTGTCCCATCAGCCCTGACGATCCATCTCTGCTCCACATCATCATGAACTGAGCCCCCAAAGCCACAGACACTCAGATCCCAAACTTTTTTCCCCACCTGAAGAGAAAATGACATCGAGTGTTGCAAGCGCATTGAACTCACGCTTAAAGTATCTTTCGGATCTTTGATATACTTTGCGGTTAAAACAAGAGATTCGCAATTGGATGGAACAAATTTGTTTGCGACAAACTTCCACATGATTCCTTTTTCGCTCTTAGCTTCAAAGGATCTCCAAGATCGTGTTGTCGGACTAAGACATAGTGGCATTTCCCCTCCAATTCTTGTAGACACGTTGTCTATCGCAAGGAAATAGCCACTTTCCTTATGCATGATAGGGAAGAAGTCCGATAACAAATCCATGATCAAGGGCCGGAAGAGCGATTGGGTCCTATCCTGGCACAGCTGTGCTTGATTTTAAGTCGTGAAATAGGACGGGGGAGCTAGAGCTAGAGGAGTGAGATGGATGGCAGCAATAGAGGAGACGGAGAGGAGAAGAAGGCTCTTCTAGAGCGCATCCATGTTGTGATAGCCCTTGATGTGAGGGAGGCAACGCGCAGGGATGTGACAGCTCCTAGTTTGCAGTGCAGGGTGGTGTGTGGTGGAACGAGGACGAAGGGAAGAGGTGGGGTTGTGTGAGGGTAGCGGAAGGGGGTAGGGAAGAAGGGTAGGGCACCAGTAAAGAGGGAATAAGGGATAGGTTGGTTGGTAGATCTGACTCGAGAAGTGAACGGTAGTACCCAGTGATTAATATACTCTATAACAAAATGTTAGGAAAACTTCCTACAAGTATCTTTCGATCCAGTGTTGACACACGAAGTGATCCCGTCAAGAAAGCAAAGAGCAAGCGTGCCCCTTATGCCATGACACTTGAAGCTTTCATTGCCAGAATCATACTATAATCGACCGAGCGAATTTCACCCTGTCTCAAGCAATGGTGCATTCCGAAACTTTGTCCTGTTATCTTTTGCATTAGCGACATGCAACGATCTAACATCACAAGTAACCTTCAATTCTTGAGGATTGTACGCGACGAAGTTGCTCGCATTAGTATTCCAATCATATCTGGAGTACGACGTCATGCAACAATGATCATGGACAAATCAACATCACGTGAAGTATTTGATCTTGAAATTTGTGGTATCCATTAGGGTCTGCAAATCCTCTTTGGTTGAGCCTGTCAGATAAACCCTTGATAGTTAATGGGAAAGAGAGTTTCATGGATCGAAATGATGATCACCTCGAACCCATGGTAAGATAGACCTTAACACCTCCTTATCCGAGCTGCCAAAGTCAGTCCTGTACCTATGGATGACACATAAGCAAGACTCGCAAGGCAGGAATCTCCCTACCAGGATAGAATCTTGGTCAGATACACGGTTTTCTGACATGAGACTCGTAAATAAACAAAATTCAAATCAGATTTTCACTACCGAGTCTTTGTCTACTTTCAGATTTTCCTCCATTTCCAGGAAGGCCATGGCAACAACTCCTGCATTTTCGTATCAGAATGCCTTCATGACATCGGAAAATTTTACTCAGCTCTTCCTCCACTGATTCACTTGAAAAGTTCTAAAGCAAAAGAATGAATAAGTCTCATACGTCAAGCACAAACTACCTTGATCGGTGGACAAGATTTTGCACCACAATTGAGCGCAAAATGGATCCTCTTCTCGCAAGACTTGATTCGCGTCTCAAACATTCTTCCAATTTTGGAGCTCTAGACTCTCACCGAAAGTGCAAAGTTGAATCTTGGATCACTTTTGGCAAATGGTTTAGAGCTGAACTTCAAATTAGGACGTCGTGCATAGATCTAGCTAACTTCACAGGTGAAAAGGAGCTTTCTTGTTGCCGCGAAGAATGCCGTTCTCGATGTCACTGAGGTCTAAGATGAGAATACTAACAAAGCTTCAAAGGGATTGGAACTTGAGACTGAAGAAATGACCTCCAATCGAATAACCTGCAAACTTCCTCATGTCTTGAATGATCGAAGGAAGTGATCATCATTAGTTAGCTTACCGACGGTATCAAAGAATGACATTCTCCTAAACGATGTCTGGGGTATACCGACCTTGAAAGCATAGTCACGCATTTTGCACGCCATTATGGTTCAATACCTGAGCAAACGCGTGGAGCACCATGAGGTTATAGAGATTGATGAAAAAGGCCTTTTCTTCATCGAAAATCACTTCACCACAGGGAAAGAATTTGAAATAAAAGATGCAACAATAATACTTTGAGAAGTATTCATAGAGGTGATGTCCAACTTTTGAAACTCGCATGTCGACTCAGCGAATTTCTGTTCATCTATTACACCTTCCACTATGGAATTGGATCGCCAATACCCAGAATTCAGAGTCCTTGGAAATAGCTGCATAATCGATAAGTCCCTCCGAGTTGGTATACTTGGACTGGAGAGCAGAGAACTACAAGCATTGTCAACCAATTCGCGACAAAATCATAATCATTCACTTTCTTCTTGCATTCTCTAATTGTTATGAAAGGATCATCAACACGATTGTTCCAAACACGAATATTATTGAGAATTTCAGGTGCACAGTCAGCCTTGAAACTGAAATTCAGTTGAGAAAGAGCTCTGAAATCGGTAGACCTGAAGCCGATAATACAAACCTTCATCTTTCAATGGATGATCTCTGCACACGTGATGGAAAACATTGCTGTCCAGAAAGCTGTTGCCAACCTATCAAGCACATTTGAGACCACACCCGTTTCTCAAGTATTGCAGACTTGCAAGGCCTCATCTCTTGATTTGAGCGAAAACCTTGTTTGCAGGAAAGATACTGCCTCGCTTCCAAGGAAGCATTTCTTGTACACCTTCGAAATCATCAGATGCTGCAATGTGATTGAGAATATCAGTACAAATCCGTGATAAGTCCGATCGGATATGCGAAGGCCGCTACATGGCAAGTTCAGCAAGGGGAGAAAGGGCATTGACATCGGCAAACGACTCACTTCCTCAGTTCGACCACGACATCCTCATACTTGAGGCACTCGCTGCCTGCGCATAAAAGCTCCTCCTCAAGCTCAGCAGGCTGTACGCCATGATCAGTCGTTCATGCGCACAGAGACTTCAGGAGATTGAAAACCTTCTCTTCTGGCTTTGGTGGATAGTCCGGGCTGTGCAACCTTTTGCATGGAAGTAAGCAAGGTTGTTGCCGACTTGAAGGTCTTGCCTAGGATCAATGGGGTCCTCTTCATGCTCGACGTCCTTGTAGCAAGACAAAATAAGTGTAAGTGGCAGGCCCCTGGGCTAGTGAGACAACCTTGACGATCTTCTCGAATTTGCCTTTCTCAAGCAGCTCGATCAACTCAGACGCACCTCCGATCTGCCCCATGTACGTCAAGTTTCTTGCATGCTCAAGTCAGCTATCACATGCACTGTGTTGACGAATATCTGAGGGACCGTGAGTCGGTCAGCAAGCGACAGCATATCTGCGGCGAGGATCAAGGAAGGATGGCATAGAACCATTGTGTCGGTGTACCTGTACGCTTCTCCGGGTAGTCCGAGAGTGAGATGTCGTGGTATTCATATCCATGTGCCTGTTTCAGATCAATCGAGTCAAGCCAGGAGATCGACCAGGCGGAAAGCTTTCCTGCAGCGCTTGCTTTGCGCGAGCACAGTGGGGACATGTCTTCATGGAGAAGATCGTGATCTTCATAGTCCGCTACAAAGAGAAAGACAAGGCCAGACGACGACACGGGAAGATCAGGGGAGAAGGAGAAGGGGAGGAGGAGAGGGGGAGAGGAGATAAGAGTTGTGGATACGAGAGGCTGAGCTTAATAGGGGACGAGCAAGGAGGGGCGAAACAAAGAGAGCGGGGACGATAGCGGGGACATGCCTCGGGGACAAGACAAACTTTTCTTCTGCCTTTTTGTCTTTGATGCATAGAATCAATAGCAAAGTATGCTGCCTCGGTATGATCATGTGTGAAAACCTTGAGGCGAGCTTGTCAAGCCCCCGGGCATTCGACCGGCCATTTTATGGCCGCGGCAAGTCAAGTCCCAGAGTGCTATTCACGTGTCACCGGCCTCGGACATCAACAAATCAGAAGCACGGTTACAGCATGTTCACTAACTTATCAACATCTTAGCTATACTGAAAATGCCTACACGAATCTTACACAACTCCTTTGATACATCATCCCGATCAGAAGCCCAAAAAACTCGTTCAAGTCTTTGCGGCGAAATGCATGAAGTATCCGTCCCCTCGGAAACATTGATCCCACGCTCCAGTCACATTGGGTATTAAGTTGACCGTCCGAAAGATGCTGTGAAGAGCATTCTTTTGTCCCGGTGTCAGCGGCAAGATGCCAATGGATTGCTCAGGATTCTCCACCCAGATGCCAAACTTCAACATCACCAATCTCCTGTAAAACTTGTCACTGTGAACCGGTACGACTTGTAGCACTTTGATTCCAGCGAAAGCCTGCAACAATTTCACGTCAACGAAATGCAGAAAGCCCGAGACTATACCTGACTGTCTTCTTCATATTCGATCATTACCATTTCTTCTATCAAGCAGATGTATAGGAATGCGAAAAGAACCCGCTTCAGATTCTTGGCATTTTTTAGCTTCTCCATTTCCTTGCTGATGACAGCTTCAAGCGGATGTCCTCTCGATTTCTCCTGAAACAGAATAAAGGCAACAAAACGATCACGTACAGCATACCTTGAGGATAGGATAAACAATTTCAGACAAATTCATCCATAATTGTTGTGCGTTTCTTGCTCTTTTGACAGAAACCTCTTGATCAGCATTGAGAATACGCTTTCCCCCTAAAGAACCGTCCTCATTATTGTCTTCCTTCATGTCGTCTTCGTCTTGGTCAGCATTCTCTTCCTTCTTGACTGCCAACAAGCTGAAGGCATGTTCGTGTCCTTCAAAACCACCGAACCGATTTTCCATCTCCCTTCGTAACAAAGCGTAATTCAATCCATCCACAACAAAAGGGGCATCTATGCCGAGATTCAAAGCGTCCAAAGTTTGGATTCGACCCTCCGTACCTAGATGAAGTGCGTCTACCATTACAGGTCGGACAAATTGAGAACGCGGACCGACAGGCTGCGGTCGGATTATGTTTGTTCGAGCATCTAAGGGTTGCGGTCGAATCAAATGCGCGCGAGCATCTACTGGCTGTGGCCTTATGATATGAGCGCGAGCATCCACTGGCTGCGGCCTTATGATGTGAGCTGGAGTATCCACCACCTGGTGTACTAGCATGTGAGCCTGGGGATCCATCACTTGTGCTGCAATGAATTGGGCTTGAGCTTGAGCTTGAGCTTGAGCTTGAGTCGAGGCTCGAGCAGGCTGATCAATTATTGCCTGGGGGGAATGTCGTTGCTCCTGCTCCTGCTTGATCTCCCGTTGCTGCATCGCACAATGCAGGCTCTGCTGCTTTGATCGCTCTTGATTCTGCAAGTGCACGTGCTCTAACTGCTCCTGCACCCCTTGATGGCTGTCTTTGAGGGACAGACATCCACGAACTTCACGAATGCAGTCATTGATCCGTGAGCAGCTCTTGGTATATGATCGCGATGGGCCAGCAGACACATCGCTCACATCTGTTTCTTCTCCATCATCCTCGTACTCGAATGGACTGTAATTGCTTTGAATTTCAAGTTCTTCTTCACTGTCATCATTCGGGTGAGTGATTTCCTTCTTCACACTAGCTGCAGCTTCCGATGCATTCGAGCTGCCAAACAGGTCAGAGGGAGCAAAGAGGAAGGAATTCTACTGACATCGTGGTACCACTTTCACTACGACCTAACATTCCTCTCGATCAAAAACAAGGTTGGCGAATATGTCAACCAACGCTGAACGGAATGCCCTTCGGGCTCTGATTTCATGAGTTCACGACGTGTTTTGTTCGCCAACGCACAAGGTCGAATTGAACCCGCAAATCATGCTGTCTGCTCGAGGTCAACAGAGCTGCAAGATATTCCGACGATCACAAAGTGTATTACAAGTAGTTTCTCCAGAGCTGGGACCCACGTGGACAAACCGCAGAGTTGCCCTCCCTGGTCATAACGAGTCAGAAAACTAAGAGAAAATCTGGTGAGATAGAAAAGTTTATATGCTTTACAAAAGATGACTGAGAGTGGGAAAACAACGCTGATCAAGGTACAGAACTTCAGTGGTTCAGAACAACAAGGCTGTGAATTTTCCAGTAAAGAAGGACAGAGAATGCAATAATGGCATGGCTAGAAAGAAGACATGAAGGAGAATGACGGGTTGAGTTTCTGTGAAGAGTTTTGTGCGACATGAGCACAAGGAAGCGGGATCAGCAGACAGGAAGGAGAGCGGCAGAGAAGCTGAAGCTGGTAAGGAGCAGGGAAGGAGGGGGAGGAGGGGAAAGACAGGATGAGAGCAAAAGGGGCAGACAAAGTGAGGGTGTAGCCCGTTAGGGTAGTAAAAAATAGGGGTGGGGGTACATTATTTGACACAGACCGGTACTTATAAAAGGTACAAATGTATTGTTTAAGAGGGTTCTGCCTGGTCACTGCGCCTTGCGGTGGTCAAACTACGGGGTGGTAGGTACAAAAGGGAGGTAGGGGGTCCTTGGTTCTATTAGGCAGGATAAGAGCCAAAACGGGTCCGTTACATTTCCGTTGTGAATTTTAGATATGTGACCACTCATACCTGAGGAGGGCCCGCTGAAGACGCCATGCAGTGAGGGATGGTCGCATCGTGACGGCTTGTCGGATTTGCCTGATTCCCCTAGCATCTCGATGCTGTCATGCTCGTGCCGCCATGTTGATTCGCATGGATAGGAGAGGACTTCACAGCCTCCTCCTCTCTCTTCCTGTCTCTCTACCAACTTCATAACCTCTGCTATGAGTCCGACCAACGTGCTTGTGATTGTGTGCATGGCATGGGCCATGACAGAAGCAACAACAAACATCCGCGGCTTCTCACTGTCATCCACACAATTAGAGATTCGCGCCTTCTATCCCTGGCTTACTATAAGACTGCGAGGAGGAAAAGGAGAAAGACTCAAACCTGCAAAACCAAAGAAAAAGAAATCGAACATCCAGACATGGGCCCATTTTACAGGAGGAGAGAACTTTGGGCAAGATTTCAATTTGCTTGACAAGAGTCAGAGTAACATGAAAACTAAAGTGAAGAAGGAGAACAGTGACATGGTCGCACAAAAATGTGTGGATACCTTCGCAGATTTCAAAGAGAGAGCCCGAAATGCTGCTTTGATGGAAGAAAGAAAGCCATTCTGGGAGCGAGACGCTTTTGATGAAGATATAGCTTTCAATGATAGGAAAGAATTGCTCAAGTTAATCACGTTTTCATACAACGCTGTATGTGAGCAGTTGAATGACCTGGACGCTCACAGTGTATTGGATGTGGGTTGTGGCTCTGGAAGGTTCATAATGCGAGCAAATAGCAAATCACCTCAAATCAACAGATTCATGTGTGTCGATCGCCGCAAAGATGCTCTTGATGCAGTTTATGATTGCTTTCATCGTGCGGTGCCTTTCAAAGCTGTGATCTCACCAAGAAGTGAGATCATTCCATCTCTGATCAAGCTTCTGACTACATCTATTGCAGTTGACCCGATGAAGGTTCTCCTTTGTCTTGGGGACGTGAGACAAGCTGAACACGTATTAAGGGGATATCAAGTTGCAACAATATTGAATGTGTTGGAAGAAACAAGTCCCGAATCTATTCCTCAGCTTTCTCGTTCTGTTTTCGGTGAAATTAAACCGCCACATGTATTTGCTTTTCCCTAAAATAATGATGTAATACTTCATTATCTAGGTCATTTGTATGATATGTGTATCTCCCGAGCTACCGAACAGTGAAGAATTGAGCATAAACCACGTTGAATGGACGGATAAGGTCCCTTTAGAATTGAAGTCTTTCAGAAGTCAAGTAACTTGTTGCAGGTTCTTGAAACATGGATAAACGAAGTTATGGATTTGTATCCATACAAATTGATAAAAAGGATAGACAATGGCAAGTCGTGCAACTCATCAAACTTCATCTCGAAAACCAAAATCGAATCATATGACTACAATGCCAACCGAGCAAATGCGATCCAGGCAAACAGCACAACTACTTCCGTGTTAGTTTTCAGACGGACAATTGAAGAAGCTGAAGTTTTCCCGCCGATTGAGCCGAAAATTGAAACACCAATATTGAAAGATTTGAATTCGTTGACCTCAGATCATCCTTCTCAGTGTCGGGTTATTGGTGAATTTTGGATCGACAAAGTTGTGATTGTTGGGAAGGCTGGCAAAGCTTCAGCGGGGTGGACTGACTAACGACTCGAAGACTTTCATCATTCGATATTTGTTTTACTCATATCAATTTACAAAAAGAAAGGGTTCTGACTGCCCCAACATGAATTCTTGACGGATCACCCAAACATCTTGGTGAAGACCGACTTTGCCTTTCATCAGGCGAATTAGTCAAGAGAAAGTGAAGAAGCAAGATGGTTACCTTGGCATCTTGCTCCTTCTGTCTCTTTCTGGTGGTGGCAAGGAGCTGCTGAACAGCCTGCGGACATCTATCAGAGCAGGACGACACGTGCAACTGGCATACCTTGTCTTCGGGGTTCTGCTCTGACAGTTTGACGAATTCATCTTTCGCCTCCTGAGAATTATCTTCAGCAACGAAGCGTTGGCGCATTTCTCTATCTCACCTCCAATCTTCCCAGATGCATGTAAGCTTTTGCACGACGGAATCTGGCTTTGGGATTGTCTGCCATCTCGAGAACCTGGAAAACGACCATCACATGATGGTGAAAAACAGCAGAAAGGAGCTCACTTTGTTACAGGTAGACACTACTTCAGACCACGCCTCTAGTTTATCATTACAGGCTGCCATGTTGAGCAAACATGCAGATTTGAGCTGTTTGGCGGCCTGAAAAAGCGGTTTACAATCTCATGGAACTTGTCACAGCCATGTGCCTTCACAACTTCTCACCTTCTTTTCCTCGTCATCTTGACCGGAATCAGGATACTCCACAGGTTCCATTGCAGCCTTGTACAAGCGGAGAGCTCGTGTATTCTACGACAGCATGTCACAAGACAGGAGACCCTCGTTACAATAAGCTGGAAGAACCTGATTTTGCTTGAAGTAATGGTTGCCAACTTCTTTATACTTGTTCACGAACTCGTGTTTTTCCAATGAAGACATCGAATATGTGCTCTTTCCTTCAATGAGCTCGTCCAACGTCACTTTGTATCTACAATTTGAAGTATTCAGTAACAAGCAGAGACGAAAACATATTGACACACTCGATCGTGCTGCCAGCCTTCACCTTGTCGCCATAGCCTTGGTCACCAAAGGCGTATTTGGCCTGGAGTAGACAACAGATAGTCAAAAAATACGATCTTTTTGAGAGAGAATCTTGAACCTTGATCTTCACAAATGCCTCTTGACCTGCAACCAGATGCTCGAGAGCTCTTTCAAAGCCATCGGTGAGCCCTTGTGACATGGTGTCAAATCACTTGACTAGTCGTGCAACCACTTCTTACATTCGTGCTCGGAATTCAGCTCTCCAAGGTTGACCTTGAGACCCTGACCCGAGGCGAACTCACGAGAGTCCCAAGCGTCTCCTCCTTCAACGGCTGCGGAGAAGGAGATCACACAAGTCGAACCGATCTTCGGTTTCTTCCATGCCTGACTGTTGCATGAGAATGTGTACAGGCAGTTCGAATCACTTTACCGAGCTGGGCTTGTTGAACAGTTCCACCTGGATTCCTCCGTCCTTGCAGACATCTTCCACCGTGTGGAAATCGCTCAGCTCGACATCAAACAAAATCGTTGCGTCGGGTGGAACTGCAGGATCTTTGCTGCATAAAGTTGTCAAATTCACTACTTCCCGCTCCATTCCTTTTCACCTTCCCTCCGAACCCCACGCATATGATGGCTTGGCGGTGACAACTGCCTTGCTTCCTCTCTTCAATTCCTGGACGGCAAGCCGGAGCCCTGCAGGCTGCAAGTCCTCTACACAGATACGTGTCGACTCTTCCGTGTCCATAGCCTGAGTTCCGATTTCGTATCCATCCTCAAGCCTGGCTTTATATTTGATGAAGACGATGTCATGCGCCTTGGGCCTTTCGTACCCTTGCCCTTCCTCGAGGTACAAGACCTTGACAGCTCCATGTGTCTTCTTCACTTCTTCGACCTTGTGCCAACTTTTGAGTTCGACCTCATACGTGACACGAGCTTTCGGAGGAACACTCTTGTCAGGAAGACCTTCGTCTCCAAATGCAGCTTCTGGTTGCAACTTAACAAGTGCCTGAGGAGAAAATGTGAGCGATCCTGAACTTGGAACAGACCTGGAATGACCTTTTCTCCCTTCTTCATTTGCAACATTGCCGCCTCAAGCCCTTTGCAAGGAACGTTGGAACCAAGGACGTACTTTCTTGTTTCATCGCCTTCCGTCTGATCGAACAAAACCTCGTCCTCTTCTGAACCATCTTCCAACACCCGACTAAACTTTCCCTTCATGCTCACGAAAACTTCATAGCCATCTTTAGGCTTTTCCCAGCCACTCCCCTCAGTAATGATAGTCTTTTCCATTCCCTGTCGCCAAGTCAGCATCACTCCGCAAACCATCTATGACTTGTCACCTTAGCTTCACGAGGTGAGATGGGCATCGGAGAAGAGGATCCGTCAGATGGAATCTCATCATCGGACATGTCTGCAGGCATTGTCTATTAAAGAAGAGGTTAGACTCCAATGACTTCATTTTCCTTCTTGCAATAAGCGCTTCTTCTTCATTGCAGGCCCTATCTTTCTAGTTACTTTAACAAAGATCTCCGACGCTTTCGTAGCTCTGTGCTTTCTCCTCACTACTGGATCTCTCTTGTCAATACTACTGTCAGGTCTAGCATGACTTCGTTTTCCATCACTCTCCCGCTCCTTCCCCGATTCTAAAAATCCCCCAAAGTTCTGAGAGAAGTTCTCGAGTTACATCTAAAGTTCGCATTAATTGACCAAAAGTTCTATAAGAAGCTCTGGATCAGCCCCAAAAGTTCGTAGAAATCGGTATGAGTTCTTGCAGATCCAACTCAGAAAGTTCTAAAATTCTGCTGCTGTAGGTGGAGACGGTTCCAGGAAATTCTCAGAAAGTTCTAGCCCAGCAGCTACTACTCCGAGAGCTCAGTACTCTCCGGGATGCTGGGATCAGACCGGGCCCGCGGCCGCCGGGGCCGGGCCCGGTCTGCTGGCCTTGGATGCAATAATTCGAGCTCTATGGTGCGATCTATGGTGCACCTTGCCTTGGGTCGAGGGATGGGAGAGCTGGGAGTGGTTTGCTTCATGCTAGCATGGTGTACTGAGATCCCCTTTACCATCGCCATTCACGTGAGACCAGCAACAGCTGTCAGATCGACAAGTTGTAAGCTACTCATTTCTTGTGGTGTGGGCTTGTCGGGAAGGCCTGGTGCGTCTTCAACAACCCAGATGTCCTCTCATTGCAGTTGGCTTTCCATGCATCGATTGAGAGGTGGCCGCGATAATTCCTCCAGCGCAAACTTGACATCTTCCGAACCAAACCTGGATGACGTCTCTTCAAGATTGAACTTTGAGAACCAAACTGCGATTTCATCGCTTCCGGGGAACATCGCAAACGTGGAGGACCGTCAAGCGCCGCAAAGCAAATTGATACAGGTGTGTTTAAAGACTAAGTTTAAGCTGTGCAATGATTGTCTATCAGTGGTGGACGTGGAGGCAGGATCATTACTTCGAATCCTTGTGGACAGAGTTGGGCATGATCCTATGTCCACGATCGACAGTACTTGCAAGTTTTGCCTTTCGAAACCATTTCTTCTCGTTCCTGGTTAGAAGATCTTAATTACGTGTCCTGTTGTTTCTGGTGATTCAAGTGTTCAGACCACTGAGAAGACAACTTTGTTAAACCTGCATTCATTCGTTGGGACTTTCATATTCGCATGCAAATGTCTCCTTTCGCCCAAGATTCTTCTGCTGCCATACCTATTCCAGATGTAAGCAAAAATGAGCAACCAGCTAAGAAGCATACATTTGCATGTATAGTGTATCATTTCCTGACATTATCCTTTTTGTACAGGAACATCTTGATTGGTCTTGTGTCACTCCTTGTTTCTATTGACGACATGTTCACTTTCATCATGAATCCGCAATCTGTCGTGTTGAACGAGGTGAACCGAGATATTTTTGCTTGATTGCTTTATTTTGGATTTTGAATCAAGTATCAGGTGCTGAGCGCTGTTGGAATCGCTCTCCTCGCAACGATGTTCAGAGTAATCGGGCGGATTTCTGGCATTCAATTTCCCTTTTGGTTGGGAAGGTATGGAAGAATGGAAGGTTCCTTTTAGATTGATAAGATTTCAGGATCTCTGACGTGGCGGTATACGCTGATCCATCACTGATATACTTGTTGGTGCGAACCTCTTCTTTGTCAGGCTACAACTCCTCAAAGTCACATTCATCGCAGTTGGTTTCTCCTTCTATCAACATCGCAAAAGCCATGAAACTTCTGTTGTTGAATGTCAACTTCCAAGCTGAGAGGAAGTGAGCAAGCGCCAAAAGTATAAACGTTTAATCATTGTAAAGGTCTTATGCAGTCTGTCCGACCGTTACTTCTCATCCCGTCCGGCGAGAGCCCCTGCCGCTGACTTGCCGCCACGCTCGGGAGTCAGCGGCCTGACGGCGGCAGACCTGCTGCCCGCCGGTCACCGGTCAAGTTCTGAGTGGTGGCGACCGTACCGTCAGGGCCCGGGCCCGGCGCCGCGCGCGCGAGTGGCCCGGCCGCCGACTCCGAGTCCCGACATGCGCGGGGATGAGGGACAGGTTTTGTGAGTACAGCACAGGTCAAGCAGGCTGCAAGCCACACAGGGCTGCGAGGGAAGCATGGAGCGTGCGCTGAAGGAGAAGACAGAATGGACGCGCCGGGTATGCCAATGCTGGAAGAAACATCCTCCTCCTTCACTATCTTGTGCACTTAGTTCTTGACTATTCTGTCGTTCTATCATTTCTTCTTGTGCTTCATTGTCGCATTTTCTTTTCACTCAGCAACCACCCAGAAACTAAGACTTTGTTTTCAGGCGGTCTTTGACTCGAACGGAAAGGTTCTCTCAATGGAAGGATCTATCTCGATTCAGGATTTGAAGGTGAACTTCAACTCTGAACAAGTCGATTCATAAATGATGCGGTGGCAGGGTTATTTGACTGCCTTCAATGACAAAGACACCACGTTTGGCAATGGATTCAACATCGATGGGAAGAATTACGAAGTTCATCGGTAACGAGATATAATATACAGTCTCCATATGCATTCTCTGAATCATGTTACTGCAGATTCTACGAAGATGACGGGCTGATCTATGGCCGTACCCACTCGGTTGATCCTCGGGATGGAGAGGGCTTCTGCTTTGCTAGGGTAATCTGCAGCATGACGTACCTTCGACATGCTCATCACTGGACATTCAGGCCAAACGTGGAACAACAGGAGAGTGGATCTATGCAATCATCACCTACAAGTTCCCGGTATGTAGGAAACCTTGTTTGCCGCATTCTTAGATTTGTTCCATGATACACGTGAAATGAAGTTAAAATGATATGCCAGGTTCTATCTGCTAAGGCTGTCCCTGAGCTTCAAGATTTTATGAGGCAGTTTGGTGAGCTTGTGCTGCCTACTTCGAAAGTGCTAACATCGACCGCAGTCTGCAATCAGTAGCTGGGCAACTTGTTGAAGCATAACTACATGAATGATCTTGTTCACATCAATACACCATTAGATTTACAACGTGAAGCCTCTAATCTTCATATTTGTTGCCAGCTTCAAAGCTTTCAGAACGTTAAGACCTCATGTAACAAGACTCCTTCACTTGCTTCGAATCTTCACATGACGCGTGCATGAGAATGACTACACTTTAATTCAATTCAACAGCAACAACACAAACACACACAACAGTTTTTTGACAAGAATTTTTGATGATCCGGCAGATAGATGGAGGTTCTTGCCTCCAATCAGCTTGGGGCATTCCGGAATGAAGTTCCTGTGCCCGCAATTGGCTAAAAAGAAAAAAATTGAAGATTAGAATGAGAGTGTCTGAATAAAAGAGCTTGCCATCTCTCTTTCGAGTAGTTTGACGAGTCTCCTTCCTCCGACCAAATTTGAATTGAATGCTTCCATCGTGCGAATGATTTCTTTCATCTTGTGCTTCTTACTTTTTTTCAATTCCTGCCAACCTCAATTCAATGCCATCCAAGCTCACCACCATCACAACAAACAAAAAAAGCACCTTCAGATGATGCAATGGGAAAGAGAAATGCTCTCTGGAGGAAGGACAGAAATCATTCACAACGCTACATACTTTGCTGTTTGACTCTCACCCATACTTTTGCAAGCATTGCTCACAAAACAAAATGTCTTTGTTGATTTCGACCAGTTCTACAACATGGCATGAGAAGCAGATGCTGAGTGCTCGAGAAAACCTGCTTCCAGCACCACCCAGTGCGCTTCGAGTCTCGACAGGACTTGGAGGAGATCGGATTTAGCTTCTGTTGCATGTCAGAAACGAGTTGACAGCTGCGGGCATGCGTTCACCGTCCATCTTGCATGCAGTGCCTCCCGCTTAATGCGAGCGAGGAAGGAGCTGGCTGGAGCTGGCTGGAGCTGGCTGGAGCTGGCTGGAGCTGGCTGGAGCTGGCTGGAGCTGGCTGGAGCTGGCTGGAGCTGGCTGGAGCTGGCTGGAGCTGGCTGAGCTGGCTGAGCTGGCTGGAGCTGGCTGAGCTGGCTGGAGCTGGCTGGAGCTGGCTGGAGCTGGCTGAGCTGGCTGGAGCTGGCTGGAGCTGGCTGGAGCTGGCTGGAGCTGGCTGAGCTGGCTGGAGCTGGCTGGAGCTGGCTGGAGCGT